TCTCTATATTTTATTATATATTCTAAAATATACTCTGGTAACTATTCACTCAGTATGTTCTTTATTACATATAATGATTTTTAATAATAAGTGGTATATAAGGTAGTTAAAAAATATATTTCATTAATAACATAACATTTTCGGTACATATAATTGTAGTAATTTGTCACCAGTACTAGTCTCATAAAATATAAACTCACGTAAAGCATACATATTTATGATAAATATGTGTGTATTTCATACCTACCCATAATAATTCATGTTTTTCAACGCCAATTCATAATTTGAGGGCAAATTCCTCCCATTCCTCCCTCGCACTGCATTTTATTATACAAAACTGTTTTGTTCAGTCAATACTATTTTATGCAAATTCACAACAATAAGTCCTATTATGTGATTACTATAATGTAAAACGCTCAATGCTTGTGCTTGTTTATCACATTTTTTACTGCTCCGAATCAATTTGTGACCTCTCTCTCTCTCTCTCTCTCTCTCTCTCTCTCCATCTCCCTCTCCCCATTCAATACTTTATATTTTATGCAAAAAAACTATAGAAGAAAATCTCACGCCTTCAAAAAATTATTGTTATTTACAATTCTCTGTATTTTTCACTTTTGCTATGAGTTTATGATTAGTGTTCACTACATAGAGTACAGCAGTACTGACCGGCACTTCAATCTTATATCTCGTACTTCCTGTGCATTTACTTCAATTCAATCATTTCTTTAGATTATATTTTTTATGAAATATTATTTGAAAAACTAATTCCTGGCTCATATGCCTATCCCTCTCTGACATCCTTTGGTGTTGAGTTGAGTGCAGGTGTTGTTGTGATGTCTAGTTTGACAATATTATGATCGATTCACAGCATAACAGTTCTCAAGACGACTCACTCTAACTCTATCTAACTCTAAGTCTATGGTTAACCATATTTTTGTATAAAGTTGTGGTTTCTTTGCTTTTGTTTACTCTATCATCACTTCTGAACCAAATGTCAAAAGTCTGTCGAAATTTCCGCTTTTTTGGTTGAAAACGGCTTAAGATATGGAATAGTGTTTGCCATCAGATAACCAAAAGGCAAGGTTTTGAACCATTTTTTGTTCGTCACATCAGGTCATAAGAGACAGGATATAAGCTTAGCTAATCTCATGTCACTTCACTCTCTGTCTCTGTTTTAGTTTAGTTTTTAGTCGCTTTGCTCCTAAAATATCTAAAAGACTAATTGTTAGTCAATGGTCAGGGAGTTAGGAGTTAAGTGAAAGAAAGAGTGAGAAGAAGTTTGAATATATTTTGAGATTTTTGAGAAAATACAGTACTGTATAATGAAAGGAGGGGGCAGTGAATGGAGGGGAGAGAAAGACCACAAAAATGATGGTGAGGTTGAGGTTGAGTTCAGAGAAAAGGGTTAACAGAAAGTGGAAATGGGTCAAGGAGGCACTGGACTTACCACCACTTGCTTTCACAATGAAATACTACTGTCCAGTACTGACCCATTTTCTAGTTTGGATTTATTTCTTTTAACCCTTTTTTCTCAGAAAGCCATCTCTCCGTCATTTTTGTGGTCTTTGGTCTTCCCCTCACTTTCATTATGTTTTCAAATCGCAAAATACATTCAGCTCTCTCTCTCTCTCTCTCTCTCTCTCTCTCTCCCTCTCTCTCCCTCTCTCTCGTCACTTAATTCAGTGACAATTAAAATATTTGGGCGCATTTTCGCAGAACACAGCCCTCAATGACAATCTGAATGCAAAGCTAATGTGAATGTGATTATAAGTACAGTACAGTATAGTATAGTATGTACAGTACACTAATGTTAGTCTTTAATATGATGTTATGTTATACTGTATTAGAGTTAATACAATACAAAGCATGCGATAGAGACAGACATATGACGAGCGCTTGGAATGTATTTTTGTTCTCTTCTGCAATGATTTTTTGTGTTAAAAATGTGGCAAAATTTATGGGTTTATGGGATGAGGCAAACGGTAGTACCGGAAAAGTTAGGGTTAGAGCAAAGGGAGCACAGAATTGAGTGGAGTATAGGACAGGAGTCGTGTGCTCTTTATGTTGGCATTTGTGGTAAACAAATGTAAAAAATAAATGCTTTAACTTTTTGATGCCTTTTCAAAGATAATGCACTTATTTTTCTTATGCGCACAAAATGGTGTGATTTATTGGGTAATAAAACGGTATCAATGGCTCAATGCCGGTGCTGTCGTGTGCAGCACCACAATCACAATCACACGCATTGCCAGCTGTCTGTCCTCTCTGTCCGGAACAGTTCGAAGACCCCGAAGGCTACTATCAATGCGTCCAAAGTATACGCTTTACTCAGTACTCAGGAGTCAATGCAGTATTGCATATGTTATATATGCCTCTCATATACTCCACCAACACTTCACACCGTTATGTCCTAAACAACAGTTCTTTTGCATTCACTAAACGGTCGTTATTATCGTACAAAATATAATCATTTTTAGCAATATTTTCAATTATATTTTAGCATAAAACTAATAATAATGCGGTTAAGCTTTAATCATAAAGTCTTACAATTAGAAAATTATCTGAGTCAACTGAGAATTGTTTATAAACTATTTTAGGTAGTGATTTTTAAAATTAATGTACAACAAATCAATGCAATATAGTGCTCAAATAAATCAATATTTTTGAAATTAGCAAGGTTTCTTACGTTATTTATAATTTTGTAAGATCTTATGTTTGTTTGAAATTGTGATAATTCTCATATTAAAGTTGTTTCAAAGTACATTAAAATGTGACTAGTACATAAATGTAAAAATATATTATTTGTTTTTTATTGTTATCAAGTCATCCCTGTAATTTAGTACTTTATAATTTTTCAAAAACCATCTTGAAAATAGTTTTATGAATATAAAATCTTGTCATTTGTTTCAGTTAGATCAAAAAGTTAGTATAATGTTGTAAATTATTTTAAGTATTTAATTTCTGAATTATCTAGAAAAATATTGTAAAATTAATTATGTCCATTCTCATTTTAGAAACTTGTCTAATAATAATGTAGGTATTTATGTAATGGTATATTAACTTAATTTTAATTTATAGATTAAGAAAATTGATTATTTAGAATGAGTTTAAAATTAATGAACTATAGGTTTAAGTAAAGCATACATTTAATAAATAGTTATTTTTTGTGGCATTTAGAAAATGGTAAAATAATTAATTAATAGCTAAGTAATTGAGAGTTTGTATTGAATGAAACAACTAAAAGATGAGAGGACTGACAGATTGAGGATCGGTTGCGAACTAATCGTGAATTTGTGTAGTTTTTGGAGAACACAAGTCGTCGGTGAGGGATATGTATAGAAGTGATGTCTGTTAGACATATATAACTCATTATACTCTGTATGTATACAAAAGTTGGGATAATTTATGAATGTATAGTGAATGTTAAAAAGCTGTGCAGTTCTGGTATTATTGTTTGACTAGTGATTCTTGAATGCATTCATTTTGACTGATTTCCAAAAAGCGTTTTTCGTTTTTGAGAAGGAATTAAATATTTGTTTTCATAAGAAAAGGTAATAAATTGCCAAAAGAAGTGAGAACTTCCGTCTGTGTGTTGTTTTGAGCCAAATTGCAATCACTGAGCACTGAGAGCACTGTTATGTGATGTCTGACTTGTTTAAGAAGTTGACTGTTGTGCAGAAAAAACCTGTGGCTAAAAAATATAAACACATGGAATGGGGCATCAATAGCTCCTGTAGTATCAATAGACCTCCTTGTGCTTCACAATTGCCCGATCACTCGACTGCCAACGAATTGCCAACAAATTCAGTTTTGCTTATTTTATTGACTCCAAAAGCGCTTCATTTTCAATGCATTGCTTACGAGATGTTGTGTTAAGCAATGAAAAAAGAGATACTTTTCTCACTTTTATTCTAAACCTATCTCTCAATGGGGGGAACGGCTGGTATTTAATGGTTTTGAACTAAACATTTACCGTAAGTCATCGCTTGTGTTCACAAGATTTACTGTAGATTTATTTTGGTTGCACACGAGTTACATACAGGTGCGATATGTATCATACGACTGACTGTACTGTACATGAATTCTACATAAGCTGTGTATGTGATTCCTATGCCATGACTCTAGCGATTATTGCTTAAAAACCAAACTTTCTACAGTATAATATACATATAGTTTTGAATATGTTTTAGATATAGCATTCACTTGTAGATCTGTAGGTCTGGTGGAATGGTAGGTCGTAGGCGTGCATGTGGTTAACAGAACAAACAGAGTTTACATTTAATTTTGTACTCGACTTATGTTATGCTAATATTCTTATATACTTTTTGGTTATTTTCACAAGACTTAAGAAAAATGAGTTCTCTTTTTGTTATGTTTAGATTAGAGCAAAGTTTTAACGGTTTAACAGTTAAGACAAAACATTTAAATGTTATTAAAGTTATCTTAAGCTATGATATGCTATAATTTGTAACATTTATGTCATTCTTGTTCTCTAAATTCAGATTCTTCTGCAATCGCGTCTTTATAATAAATTTGATCACTTCATCACTTCATTCAAACTAATCACTTAATTATCAAAAGTTAATAAACTTTTCTCAATGAATACGTCAGTCAGTTGGCCTGTCTTTGCCACCTCTGCCCCCATAGACAACAGAATCAACTCAATGGGACCGGAGAACAGCTTTAATAAACTGATGCCTCAAAGCAATACATCGAATGAATTGAATCCGAAAGCTGAAGACATGACCTCTCATATCAATAAACATCTCAAACAAATGCAAACCACTTTCAATCACATCAATGATAATATGAATACTAATGACAACAATAATGATGACAATAAAAGTAAGAATAATTACACGGGAAGTAGTGACACAACTAATGGACAAATTCTGAACCTCCGGGTCGATGACTCCCATGAAGACGAATTTGACGATGAAGAGGACGAAAGTCTTATGGACAGTATGGCTGACGATGACTCACTTCCTTCACCTGATGCTATGTATGCGACTTCTTATATATCCAACGATTCCAATGAAAGGAATGGTATTCATGACGATAACAATAAAGAAGAAATTGGAAGTGAAGGCCAGAGTGTTGGGGAACAGTCACCGATCGGTCCGTTAGCACAGCTTCAAAATGCTTTGGAACGACGCTCCGGGATGTTAGGCATGAGTTTGACTGACTTCTCCACTGCCAATGGAACCGCTCCTTCATTGTTCAGTTTCGATGGCATCAGTCCTTTGGGAACAGCTTTTAATGTAGACAACGATATAACGGGTGAACTATATAGATGTCATCTTTGCTCTTATTCGGGGACATCCAAGTGTCAGTTCAACGCCCATATGAACACACATTTTGACCACAAGTGCGCCTTTTGTGACTATACCTCACGAACTGAGGGTCGGCTTAAGAGACATATTAGAGACTTTCACTCAGAGATACCACCCGACAGTTGGGCCGGTAATAGAGTGTTGAAGGAAAACAGTGTCCACGACGGCGATGACAGTGTGGACGGCACTGATGCCAGTGTCAACGGGAGTGGAGGCAACTCCAAGTCAAGGAAGTATAAGTGCAAACAATGCGATTTCGTGGCCACTTGTAAGCAGGAGTTCTGGGATCACTCGAAGGCACACATAAAGTCGGAGAAGCTGTTGACGTGTCCTAAATGTAATTTCGTGACCGAATATAAGCATCACTTGGAATATCATCTTCGGAACCACTTCGGGTCAAAGCCCTTCAAGTGCGCCAAATGTAACTATAGTTGCGTTAATAAGTCAATGCTTAACAGTCATATGAAATCGCATTCAAATATATATCAATACCGCTGTGCGGACTGTAGTTATGCCACCAAATACTGCCACAGTCTGAAACTGCATCTCCGCAAGTATCAACACAAACCGGCCACTGTCCTCAACCTGGACGGCACTCCCAACCCATATCCAGTCATTGATGTCTACGGCACCCGACGGGGGCCTCGACCTAAGAAACCAAAAGCAAACAAAAATAGTCAAAACCAACAAAAGTCACAACAAATGGATTCATCTTTACCTCAAACGCCTGTAATCTCTTCACCCCTTTCGCCGAACTTATTGAACGTGACACCCATTCCGCCATTAATTCCGGCCTCAATGCCAATGACTCTGCCATTCATATACCCCCCAAATCCAGCCCTTCTTCACAGCGGACTTTTGGGACAGCAAACGATGGCACAATTACCTCATATGAATGCAATGGCTCACCACTCCATGTATGAGTCGGTCGGCGCCCAAAACAAGTTCTCAAATTCACCAAATTCTAACTCAAGAAGTCAGACCCAATCGCCATCTAATTTGAATGATAGACTTAAGTGTCATTTATGTGATTTTACGACTGAAGCGCGGGAAGTGTTGGGAAAACATTTGTTACTACACGTGGCCTCAGAAAATCAAGACGTCTGCAGAATATATGGCATGACTCCCAGCGCTGAAATGCTTCAACAAAATGCAATAATCAGTGAATTAGCCGCCAGACAATCGCCCGATTCAAGACGTCTTCTGGAACAGATCGCTGTCAACCCATCCCTCATGAATACTCTGTTGGGAATGCATTCGTTACCAAAAGCAGAGCACTTGACACTAGACTGGCATTCATCTCAAGTGTCTCGAAGTCTGGATGTGTCGCCGCAAACGATATTAGCCAACATAGAGGCCAGACATATGCGGCCCGAATCGGCGCCAATCAGAACCAACAGCAAGAGTGTGGTCTCACCGCTGCCCCGATCCAGAAGCAGTCCCACCACTGAAGTCAACACTCAGGACAGAGAACAATACGTCTCAAAGGCTAAACGTTTATCTTCTTCAGAGACCACACCACTCGACCTCTCGAGCAATAAAAGCACTTCTCCTGTGACCCAAACGTCTGAACCAAAGATTATTGCTTTACCACAACAGTCGTCACAATCATTACTTTCTTCGCAAATAATGAATCCAAATGATGGCAAACAAGGAGAAGAGTCTGGGGTGGGAGATGTGGCACCAGAAGCTGTATCGGAACGGCAACAGTCGAGAGCCCAGAGACGAAAGGGAAGGGCGTCTAAGCTGAATGTGAATCGATGTGTGAAAATGAGTGACCAAAGCCTTAAAAGTGATGAAATGAGTGAAGACATGTGCGAAGAGACTGGTGATAGTTTGGCGGAACAGGAGCCCGATGTGGACCATATAATCAGTAAAATAAATAACGCCACGTCTTTGCTGCAGGAGATCCTGTATGACATGTATTCGCTGAAGAATGACACTTACCATTAGTCATCACTTCATCTGTAGTTCATTATAAATGCATTCATTTCTAAACTATTCATAGGCTTTGAGACAATGTATTTGATATTTGGTTCAAAAGTATTAATATACTTATTTTAAATACAATTTAAATGAAAGTAATTTTGTAATGCAGTACAATTAGTGCACAATCTGTAGAAATAGAGGGCTAGTAGTGCTAACAGTGCTTACAGTGCTTACTATATATGATTATGGTACATTAGTCTTATTTGTGAATATATTAGACAATAATCACTACAAACTATGGCAGATGTGATGAAAGGATCGATTATATTACAGTTATATACATATCTATCATAACTTATGATTCTTAAGTAATATCATATGAATATAAAAGCAATCATTTATTGTGCGCTAAACCAATCCATCACTTTTATATCATTCCCTCATTCAATACACTATTTGAATAATATATAAACAAATTGTAATTTTTTTAACTGTAATATCAAAATTGTTTTAATGCAACAAATCTTATAGTTTTCATTTTATTTTTAGGTATTTGGCAATAATTTTTAATTTATTACTTAAAAGTTAGAGAAATCGATTGTTTGTCTGCAATCCTAGCCCTTGTAATGTACTGCAAAATTTAATGTTTCATAATTTCCCATTTGATAACAGTAACCAATATTTGCGTTGACTTTATATTAAATTTCAAATAAAACATAATTTTATCAATAAATGAAAATTGTTTCAAATATAAAACAATTTTATAGTCAAACAGTTTCTTAATGTGATTCACATATCATTAAAAACAAATTTTATATAAAAATTATATTAAACTATTTAATGAAATCAAAATAATCACAAAATCAAAATATTTAATTGTAATTATATTACGTTTAAGATTTCAACCAATAATAAAGAATTACATGTTGTCTACAAATATTGTAATCTTTTATTGTCTATTCAATAGACTATGGTATATTTTATTCATTACTCTACAGTAGAATCTAAATAATTATTGTTTATATGCTAATAAATTCTTATGCTTATTAGCATATTTTTAATATTAAACCTCTCTCTCTCTCTCTCTCTCTCTCTCTCTCTCTCTCGGTCTGTCTGTATTATATGTGAAGCTGTTGTATAGCTTTACTAGACTATGAGACACTTCCCAAATAAAACTGAATCTTATATTATTCATAGAAATGATTGTCATTTGTCGCTGTTTTATATGCGAGCTTCACATATATGTCATCAGTTTGTCTCAAAGTGTTTGCTCTAAACATTCAATAATACAATGACTTAAAAAGTGGTCAAAAGAGTGGTTATGTTGTGTTTGAGACAAGCATTGATTGAGACGATTAGTAACACACAGTTTAGTGAAGGGAATGCCATCTAAATTGATATTTGTTTGGAATTGAGTTAAACTCAGCTTTTCTATGAATCCGTGAAAGACTTGGATCTCAACATAAAAGGCATTGTCTTTCCAAAGAAACTCTTTAGTGATTGTAAATCTGGGAGTCTTTCCATAAATCCATTGCCAACTCCTGAATGTGTTTTCAATGTCTTTGATGTCAACGAAAGTCTTGTGGTCAGCCATTAGCTCCATATAAGCAGAACTCGTGTCTCTTCCCTGACAATGATTGGAGACATTGATGGCTGAGTTGAGCATTTGGTGTACAGAGTAGTCATCAATACCTGGTCTCTGCAGAACTGAATGGCCATCTCTTTGACCACATCCTCCAAATGTAGGTCTTTGTTGACTGACTTAAGGTTTGTTGTCTTCGAAGGGATACTTTCAGTGGCTTTACTGGTCATCAAAGGCTAAAATGACATCAATTCAATGAAACCACTGATGGATCAATCAATCGGTTCAATGACTGACCGATTCTTTGCGAATCAATTGTTTCATTTGATTCAAGTCGGCGTCAATGAGAAGAGTCAAGTGATGGTAACTGTTATGAGCGCCCACTTTGCTGGCCGTTCCCGATATCTTATGTCCACTTCTGGCCAAAACTAAATCATCTCTTCGAGTGATCTCTAAATCGATATTAAATTTATTGAACAAAACGTTTTGAACGAAAAGCAAATTATTTAAGCGATTATAAAGTCTTTTATGACAAATGAAACTAATGTTCAGATTATTCATGTCGTGGTAAACGGTTCCGCCGCCACTGTTTCGACGGACAACACACACGTCTTGAGCCATACATCGCGACACATATGCCTCTCGCCATGGATTCTGATGTCTGCCCACCACTACTGCCGGTCCATTCCTCCACATCAGCAGCACTGCCCCCCCTCCCCCTCCACCGCACACATCATTCACATTCACCGACCGATACAACCAGTCCTCCAGAGCCAGGTTCACGAAAATATCAGTCGACTTGGAGTACACAACACAACAATCACTCAACACATGACCACTTCTTGGACGGACGCTCACTGTCAACACTCTTCTCGCAGTCAGTAGTGGTCGCGAAGACCACTTCACACCCAACATGAGCCGTGCATTCATCGTGTCATGTGTTCACCTGTCACTCAATGTCTTAACGGTAATGTCTTCACATTCCTCTCGTTTCAGATATCGTCCAAAAGTGTGGTCACAGACTGTCAAAGACATCGACAGACAGACAGACTGTACAACACATGTGTTTGAAGACTAGGTGTGCGACAGATGGCAGTGAGTGTGCGCTCAACCAAAACACCACAACATTGTTGAATGCAATGCCATTTGAATGACTGCTTTGTGTGCCGACCGGTCGACACAACTGTTGACAAGTGTTCACAAATCATACGTTTGTTTGTTTTGTTGACAATTAGTGCCAAACAATGGCTCAAAGAGAGAGCCGAGAAGACACCGCGTATGTGGAAGTGTTGGATCCCAACCGACAAATGAGTGATGAGTTGTTTGCCGAAGAGATGGGAGGAGCGGTTGCGGCCAAAGAGTTCCCCTTCCGGTTGGACTCGTTTCAGATGCAAGCGATCATCCATTTGGAGAGACGGGACAATGTGTTGGTGTCGGCGCACACGTCGGCCGGCAAGACAGTGGTCGCCGACTATGCCATTGCTATGGCCTTCCGGTCGCACTCGCGAGTCATCTACACGTTCCCTCCCCCTCCGCCGCACACATCATTCACATTCACCGACCGATACAACCAGTCCTCCAGAGCCAGGTTCACGAAAATATCAGTCGACTTGGAGTACACAACACAACAATCACTCAACACATGACCACTTCTTGGACCGGCGCTCACTGTCAACACTCTTCTCGCAGTCAGTAGTGGTCGCGAAGACCACTTCACACCCAACATGAGCCGTGCATTCATCGTGTCATGTGTTCATCTGTCACTCAATGTCTTAACGGTAATGTCTTCACATTCCTCTCGTTTCAGATATCGTCCAAAAGTGTGGTCACAGACTGTCAAACACACCGACAGACAGACAGACAGACAGACAGACAGACTGTACAACACATGTGTTTGAAGACTAGGTGTGCGACAGATGGCAGTGAGTGTGCGCTCAACCAAAACACCACAACATTGTTGCCAATGAATGCAATGCCATTTGAATGACTGCTTGTGTGCCGACCGGTCAACACAACTGTTGACAAGTGTTTATAAACCATACGTTTGTTTGTTTTGTTGACAATTAGTGCCAAACAATGGCTCAAAGAGAGAGCCGAGAAGATACCGCGTATGTGGAAGTGTTGGATCCCAACCGACAAATGAGTGATGAGTTGTTTGCCGAAGAGATGGGAGGAGCGGTTGCGGCGAAAGAGTTCCCCTTCCGGTTGGACTCGTTTCAGATGCAGCGCTAGTAGGTAAACCTCTCTGCCCTGTTACACAACCACAGCCGCGTGTGCAGCCGGCCGTTCTGTCACCAGCGGCTGATACGGTAACGATACCGGAAGGCCAGCGTGAGCGCTCAGTAGATGTGCACGCCCATCAAAGCCCTCTCCAACCAGAAGTACCGCGACTTCAAGAAGGAGTTCTCGGATGTGGGACTCCTCACAGGTGTGACCATTGATGCACTCGTTGTGTGATTGCAATTGAATTCACTGTTGATTTGATCCAAAGGTGACGTTCAGATCGACTCGGACTCGAAATGTCTGGTAATGACGACCGAAATTCTGCTGCAAATGCTGTACAACAGGTCTGAAGTGATCTCCAACTTGGAGTTCGTGGTGTTCGATGAGTGCCATTACGTGAATGACCCGGAAAGGGGTCACGTCTGGGAGGAGGTGTTCATTCTGTTGCCACAGACATGCAGTTTAGTGCTGTTGTCGGCAACGGTTCCAAATGTGGTTCAGTTCGCCGATTGGTTGGGAAGGACTCGCAAGAAGAAGACGTATGTGGTGTCCACTCGCAAACGACCCGTCCCTTTGCGACATTACCTCTATGTGGGAAGAGATAAGAAGTCACAACACGACAGACATATGATTGTCGACGAGAACGGAGTGTTTATTAACGATAACTATAAGATGTGTGAAGAACTCATAGACGGCTACAAACAAAAGTTTGGTTATATTAAGAGATGTCCGCAAACCGAACGACAGATTTATCTCAATTTGATCCGACATTTGCAAGAGAAGGATAAATTGCCGGCCATTTTGTTTACATTATCTCGAAATAGATGTGACTCTAATCTGGAGAACCTGATGGCCATCAGTAGTGATTCCTTTCAATTGATTAGCAAAGCAGAGGAGTCACGCATTCATAGCTTTGTTTGGCATCACTTGAGACAACTCAAGAGCTGTGACCAGAAGTTGCCTCAAATTGTGAGAACTGTTGAAATGCTTAAAAGGGGTTTAGGTGTCCATCACTCAGGAGTGCTTCCAATCCTTAAAGAATTAACGGAAATATTATTTTCTGACGGTTTGATCAAAGTATTGGTAGCAACGGAGACGTTTGCGATGGGCGTGAATATGCCGGCGCGGACTGTAGTGTTCGACTCCATCGACAAACACGACGGACACAACTGGAGGGATTTGCTGCCATCCGAGTACATCCAGATGGCCGGGAGGGCCGGGCGTCGCGGCAAAGACGCGAACGGCACTGTCATCATCCTCTGCAAGTACGACATCCCCGACTCACCCCGTCTCACTCGTATGATTCAGGGCTGTGCCACTCAATTGGTCTCTCAGTTCAGACTCACGTATCACATGATATGCAACATTCATAAGACTTCGCAAACCGATGAAACAGATATTGAAAAGTTTTTGGAGCGATCTTTCGGTGAACACAATCGTCTCAAACAATCACAGGATGTGAACAAAGAGTTGCAATCTTTAAGACAACAGATTGAGACGCTTCCTGCAAATGATTGCAACCATTGCTCGGATTTAGAAAATTTTTGTCTCACTTTTGAAGAGTATGTCCAATGTTTGCGAGCAGTTATGCCTACCATTTGTCAGAGGGCTCTGGAAAAGGGTCGACTCAACATCGGCCGCATAGTTGTTGTGATCGGCGCTGAGAACCCGTTTGAAAGTGCGCTCATTGTTCGCGTCAATAAAGACCGACACAACAACATCACTGCTTTGACTGTACTCTCATTGGCCCCAAACAATGCCACCAATGGATTCCAGTTAAGAGATGTTGCCGTCGATTGTGTTCATAAGATATTAAACAAACAACTGAAGAATAAGTCATTTGATCCCAAAGTGATAATCGATGAGAATGAAAATGTCAAGAATAAGTATAAAGCAAAAGAGGAAACACTGAGAGTAGTGGACATGTTTAGAGACTTGTGTTTAGACACCAATTACTCCCTTCTCAACACTGACTCTATTGACCCCAAAACCAATTTACAGATCAAAGAATTGGATTTAGTCGACAAAATCAACAAATATATCACTTTTGGCACCAAATTATTGACATTTGAATGCATCAAATGCAGTGATTTTGTTCTTCACTTTTGCAAAACCAATCACAAGATAACTCTTAGGAAGCAAGAGATTGATCTCGAGTTTAAGCTCTCGTCACAGAGTTTACAATTTTTGCCCGAATATAAGACTCGGATCGAAGTGTTGCAAACAATGCTATATTTGAACCAACATTTAGTACTCGAACTAAAGGGAAGAATTGCTTGTCTTATGGCTGAACATGAATTGCTTTTAACAGAAATGTTGACCAATAATGTGATCAGTGATCTGACGCCACAACAAATAGCAGCCCTTCTCTCGTGTTTTGTATTTCAGCAAAAGTCCGATTCTAATCATCAGAAACTCGATTTCGATACAACTCTTGAAACGGTATTCTTATATGAAAGCCTCACTTTAGACTTACTGTAGTTATTATTTGGATTTGTTTGCTACAGAAACGACAGGAGTTACTGGAACTGGAGGGACACATAGATGACATCGAAAGGCAATGTCAGGTCCCGCAGCAGACCATTGTAGAAGAGCTCAAATTTGATTTGATTGAAGTGATCTATGAGTGGGCCAATGGAAAGGTAGAGTATTGTGATGTTGTGCCAAATGACACAAATAACACATATGTTTGCTGTCCATATCAGTCGTTTGCCGAAGTGCTCGACAAGACATCAGTTCAGGAGGGGATCATTGTTCGGTGTATCCAACGATTAGATGAACTCTTAAAGTTTGTTAAGATGGCGGCCAATAAGATGGGCAACAAAGAGCTCGAAGACAAGATAGAGTTGGCCTCTAAAGCCATCCGAAGAGATATTGTTTTCTGTCAAAGTCTTTACACAATTCCTGATTCACAGACAAGTGATGAGACAAATGAAGACATGTTTAATGAAAATCTTAATTCAAATTATTTATAATTATTTATAATTATATCCCAAATCATTGCAACAACGACTGAAAGAAATGTTTGACAACATTCTAAACATATATTTCATATATTTACAAATTTTTATTTGAATCATTATTTTTATTGGTAAAATCGTGCAAATAAAGTATCAAATATGAAACTATTGGAAAATATTTTTATAAGTGTTAACAGTGAGTGCCTTTATATGTTTTTATAGAGTTTCAATTTTATACCGTTAATAAGTTAACACTGTATTTGCAGAATAAATTCAACTCAAAGTTCATTTAAATTTGAAACATTATCTCGAAAATATTTAGGTAATTAACTATGCAATACCTCGATAATGTTAAATTATGACTATATATTTTGTATGTGAACTAATGTTTTGCTAATTATTATAAAGTATTAATAAATAACAAATATGAATTTAGTTAATAATTAAACTGTTATCATTGATCCTATATATCCTCATTATCTCTCATAACGTTGACAACATTATCACAATTAATTGGACTTTTTTTGTGATTAATCTCATTTCCAGTGAACGTAAAGAAATGCTCTGAGTTTATGTGAAGTTATTTCTCTATAGTAGGAGATATTTTCACAATCACACCATAAATAGTCTATATATTATTTTAGGTAGAATTGTAAAGTGATTTTAATTATTGATTATTATTTATATATAAAAAGTGGTAGAATTGAGTGCCGAAAATGTCGAGTTTAGTGAAACTGGTGCCAGTGGTCAGTCAACCATACATTTAATATCATTATACCGTACTTTCATTTATTAATTACAATATATTCTTATCTCTTATTATAGGATCGCCTCAAATATTTAAGTTTGTTTGCTATCAAATTAATATGCATTCATGCATTCATTTTAAGTTTTATTTTGGTTCAATTTGAAATATCTAGCCAAAATCAATTTTGTTCAAATCGATGACTTCGTATTTCGACTACACTATAGGTTCACATTTATTGGTCTCTTGGTGGCCAGGTATGTATATTTACTGTTAACTAATATGTGTCAAAAAGTGATAATGATAATTATAAAATAACACGCTTTGTGAAAAATTATCTTGTTATAATAATCAAATGTGAATTAGTTTAACTAGTATAAATTGTCTCAAAATGTTGACATTTTGTGTTTATAGTGTCCTATTGAGTGCCGAACAACTATTTGGAAAACCTATTAAATGTATAAAAGGTATAAATGGTTAACTTAACACTAAACACAACCAATTTTGTAAATAAATAGTTATTATATATGTATTTATAAATAATTGACAGGTGCTGGACAGGATGTTAGACAACAACTTCTGGAGAACTTTTGTTGGGTGAGTTAGACAACTGTATTATTCATGTTAACATCGGGGCAAACATTCATTTCCAATAACCATAGGTTGAGGGAACATTCACTCTACCAAAAGCTCTCCTAAAAGGTATTCATACTTGAAGAGTGACCAGGAACACCATTTTAAACCTAATTTGTATTTGCATGTGAAAGCTATTGACAAAGAAGTACCGGCGCCGGGTGTCGAACAGTTCTATGAAAAGGATGAAGTTCTTCCACATTCATACTATCAATGGGTTATTATTGTTAATAACGTAAAGTTGTCCACAAAATGACTAATCTTGTCAATTATGACCATTAGGTGTGTGTCGTGCTATTCCTGCAATCACTTTGTTTTTATATCACAAGAGCTCTTTGGAAGGGATGGGAAAGAGGTTCATAAGATTCATAAGAATATGTTGTCATTAGTGGAGATGTAAATGTCATAAATATGTAATGAATGCATAAATGGTTTGCATTTCAGGCCGAATAAAGAACTTAATGAATGACTTGAATAAAGTTATTCTCAAAGAAGAAGAGAAGACCGGCAAACGGGATTCTCTGGTCACTCAGTTGGTGGACAGTAGGGGCAAAAACAACGCCTACGCCTTCCGCTATTTTATTTGCGAAGTCGTCAACTTTTTTAATGTCATCATTCAAATGGTAAGTGTTATTAGTAGAGTAGAGTAGAGTAGAGTAGTAATAGAGTAGAGTATTATTACTAGTCTAGTATACCAATAAATGACAATATATTGTACTTCATTCACACTACTGTCCCATTCAACAGGTTTTCATCAATTGGTTTTTGGGCGGAGAGTTCTCTAAATATGGGATCAATGTCTTCAATTATATCGATAGAGACCCAAATGTCTCAGAGGATCCCATGTCCAGAGTGTTCCCGAAGCTAACCAAATGTACTTTCAGACAATACGGTCCATCGGGTGATATCAAACGGTAATCATGTGATTATGTCATTATGTTATCATTTTATTAACTTATTAAATATGCAAAGTATTTCCAAGTATTGTATGTTTACCGATTGCTTTCCATTTAGTGTGTCCAAAATTACACCAGATATACTTATTCAAATTACATATATAAACCTTTAGGGATAATTTAATTAGAGTATTACGCGAGGGGTGGGAGGATTGGGATCAAGAAAAGCTCATACATAATGTTAACAGTAAATTCTTGTGAACTAGCATTGTACTCTGCTACAAGGGATTAATTATGGCATGAGTAATTTTTGTAATCTTACCTACTTATTGAATATCCCCTTTAGAATTTTAATACAACTATGATTATAGATTTAATTTTAATTTAAAAATTAACACCGTAATATCAATGATTATAATTAAAGTTGAAATATTTGTCTGTCATATGAAAATTTTACGAAGAAGAAGATTTTAAAACACAAATCATTTACCTTTAGTTTTAATTAAAGATACAAAAACACAAAAATACAGTAATAGACTATTACTAATAGGATATACAGTATAAGAATTTATCATCAATTTAATAACATTATCTTAACTTTTAAATTGTTAGGATACATTATTATACATTGTACAGTTATTGTCAAAATAATTTTGCAAAATATTAAATATACCTGCGAAATAAATGAAGTAATAAATGATCTCAATTTTAGTATTGGAGTAAAATTGAAATTATTTTCTTATTATTAAATAGTTTCGATAATCTGTGTCTTCTTCCGCAAAATATCCTCAACGAAAAGCTTTACATTATTCTCTGGTTTTGGTAAGTATTGAATAGTTCACTGTAGATATTTGCATCAATTAGTGAAATATGCCACTACTATTGACATGTTATATTTAGGTTGTATGTTTTGGTGATTGCATCTGGAATTATGGTTATTTACCGGCTAATTATAATAGCTTTTCCTCAAAGCCGTTATTATTTACTGCATAGACTTCATCATTTGGGTAAACAGTATACTATTAATAGTAGTTTAAAAAACAAATCAATTAATTATTCATATCATTTCATAAGTCCAACCAAAATATTTTGATACAATTCTAAGTCGTTGTGGTTATGGAGATTGGTTTGTGTTATATTTGGTATGTGCTAAATATGTTAACAATCAAAATATAATAAATAATAATTTTTGTAACAAATTGATTATTATGCATGAAATGATGACAAAAGTTGGGTAAAAACTTGGATACAATGCATTATCGTGATGTCATCATTGAATTAAGCAAAAAATTAGATGAATTGCCAACAAATCGTTTTGAAGATGAATTTGATTCCTCTGAAAGCAAAGTCTAAATTAACATTTATTTGAATTTATTTTGTCTCATATTATACTTTGTTTTAACAATATTTGAATGTTTAATTAAACTAGTTAATATTACAATTTATTGGATGTACTCTATTCTACCCTTTAAAAATGTTTTGTTTTTGAATCAAATTAATGATTATTTAAATAATATCAAATTTATGAAAAATATATATTTGAATTTTAGTTTAACGATTCAACATTTTAAACCGGAAATAAGTAGTCGGTATTTGTACTGTAATGTTCACTACTTATTCAAATGATTAACAAAGAATGCCTGTTATTTTTATGCAAACAGGGTTTAATTATATTTGTTATTATTCACAGAATATTGACTGTACAATGTTACAATTATTGTAATATTGGTTAACAACTCTAATCTTAGACAACACAAAAATATAAATAAAAGTAGAGAATATTATTTAATATTCATATTAATGATTAATTTTGTGCACACCTTATCATACATTTGGCCTCATTTTTCTCAAATATAATTCAAACTAAAAATATTAAAAATAGATATTAATTGAATATAGGCTTCAGTATACATACAATTACAAGTACATTATGGTTAATAGTTAGACTACATTTCAAAGCAATTCTTTGATATGTGTTGAGAATCAACTGCAATAATAATTGCGATAACAACTCAAGTATTGCGATAATTAATTGAATGCATTCATTGTTAGTGCTATTGACTAATGTGTTGACAAATCACACCAATTGTGTCCATATAACAAGACATATAAAGCCATAATTTGTAATGTATTCAATCTACCTCTAAATCAAAATCTAAATTTAAATCTTACATTTTCCTAATATACATAGACACATAGACAATCAATTAATTAATGCTTATTAAATAAAGTACTTAAATAAAGTACAAAAGTAATAAAGAAAGTGATCTAAAGTATATAAATATATAATTTATCAATTGTTAGATAAATAAAAAGTTCTCTAACAACTAAATAGTACAGTACAGCACTGTATTTGAGTTTATTAATCATTAAAATAAGTGCTTTTAGTATAAAATGATAAAATACATGAAAATATTTGTTCTTAAAAAGCAATTCATGTGAATGAAAATTTGACAAATAATTTATGTACTATTTATGTACAGTATGTGTATATTTCATTTTTCAATTGACAATATATTTAATGAATTGGTTTGTTATAAAAGTTGTAAATTAATAATTAGAATATTCAAATTTAACTAAATAACTTATTTAAAATAAGTATCAAATATAAATCAAAACGTTACATACCGAGAGCTTACAATAGTACTACGGTAATACTAAATTACTAAATGACCAGGATAATTCTGGGAGATTTTTATAAAGAACTACAGTATACTGTATAATCATAGCCATATAATTTTGATAATAATTTTGGCCTAATCTAAGTGAATTAGATAAGAATTTGACACTTTTATTTTAATTTGATATTTGTATTGAATCAATACTATTGATTAATTTAAAATTATATATTAATTATTATAATTAAATACAGTAAGTTATAATAATTTTCTTTCAAATAGATACATAATGTACATTGTACAGTAAGATTTTACATCATTTATTATAGAATTTAATGAAAATAGATTAATCACTGATTAATAATCAGGGATTATTTTTGATCAGAGAAATAATATTTACAGATTTATACGTGGAAATTACTTTATAACACACTAATCACTTGTTTAATCTATTAAAATTTTAGATGTAATTCACTGATAATAAAGGTTTGAGTGTACTGGCTTATAAATTAATTTAATAAAAGAAAATATTTCTCTGTTTCAACTTAATAATAGGTTTGGACTCTTATTTATATAGATTTTTAAATTAATTAATATATTAACTTTAATCTTAAAATCGGTAATTTTTGTCCGGAAAACTAATGTCAAGGTTGACAGTCAACCGGGAGATATACTTATTGTAATTACGAGATATATCAAGAACAGTTTTAGCTACTTTTGGCTGCACAATCTAAATGAGTGGTCAATCTAAATGTATCTAAATGTATAATTTTACAATCAATCATGATTCATTGCTTTTTCTAAGATAAATTAATTTACTCATTTCAATTAATTCAGTAAATAAATTAATGTTTTAAAAATGAATCATTATTTACTACAATATGCTATAATATAGTATATTATACTGTAGGTGTCAGGTTTTTATTTATCGAAACTGATTTAGCATTGAGTTTATGCTTTAATTTAAATCAGTTGTCGTGTGTTTAACTAATCCATGTGTGAAACATAATCGAGTCATACAGTAATACTCAAATATTATATACACTACACTATTATATAGAAATTGTTAAGAATTTAGTATTGGATTATAACTTATAACTTATAATTTATAAGTGTATATATCATCTGATTATCTAATATGTTAAGTATCATACCAAAATTTGTAACTAATTTTTCCAGGGAATAGGTCAATTTATCAGCAATTATAAAATATAATTTTTGTATATTTCTGGAACTGGTTTAAGATATGAATCAGGAAATGACAATCTACTGTTAATACATAAATATTCATGATGTATTATTTAATATAAATTTAGATACATGTATAAGATGAGTCTAATAAAAACTGAATGTTTGAATAAAAATTGCGTCAATACAGTAAACCTTTAAAATATAACATAACACAGTAATTATACTGATATGCCATATAAATGATAGACTTTCTGTAAGAAAAAGCTATCTCTAAATACAAATATATGAATAATTTGATGAGTTATATTTAAACCATATTTAGTTTACCCATATTATTCATAATTACTCATCAAATTATTCATTATTTGTATTTAGAAATAGCTTTTTCTTACAGGAAGCCTATCAAATATCCTAATATCGTGTAATTATTGATATTTATTTCATTAAAATTACTAATAATGTTAATTACCGTAGAAATCCTACATATGATATAACAGAGAATTTACAATTATTGCAATATTTGACTCAAAATCTTATAAAATAAGAAACTTTATCTATTCCACTTTCATATGTTATTTTTTAAATGTGGTATTTGATCTTTCTTACAAGTTTGCACAAAGTGCGTACGCACTCGTAGGGGAGGGAGTCATGCCAAAGCGTATGTCACCATGTTCAATTCCAATATACGTAGGGTGTGTAGGAGGAGGGGGGTTAATTTTTGATCATAATTTTGCGTAGTACTTTGTGCATGCCACCCAAACTACTGTATAAAATGTATATGGATAGACATACTGGTATAACCAAATCAGACTTTTTGGAAAATAGTATTAATAGTATTTACTGTATATTATACTTTTATTAAACTTTTATAATGAATAACACACAAAATTAATAATAATAATTAATGGGACCATTTGATAGGCTTTCTGTAAGAAAGAGCTATCTCTAAATACAAATATATGAATAATTTGATGAGTAATTATGAATAATATGGGTAAACTAAATAAGGTTTAAATATAACTCATTTAATAAGTATATAAACATAAATCTCTATCGAGAAAGAATGTCTTTCGGATAGTAAAAACATATTTTTTACGTTACATAAACTTTGTTTTTTATAAATTAAATTAAAAAACAGAAAGTTAATTTAGATAATCAGATAAATCAAATAAATTAGTATCACTCATTTTTTACAATTTAATGGTTAATGTTTTGAAAAATTGATTTTGTTTATTCCATATTATTTGTAAACAAACATTTATTAATATTAAAAATTTCCCTGAAATGATTGTGCATATTCATTATAAAAACTTAATAAAAGTTTAATAAAAGTATAATATACAGTAAATGCTATTTTCCAAAAAGTCTGATTTGGTTATATGTCTATCCATATACTGTATATTTTGTCTAAAATAATTGTCATTTTATTTCTTAATTGGCTCTCCAAGCTACAGAATCTGTAGTACAGATTCAATATTTTATACTACAGAGTATTAGTTGTGGTGCAAGAGTTTCTTGTTATTCGACAAACAGTATCAACCTGGTTAATGGCAGTTGTTATTTGATTCATAATATATTACATGAAACACTAAAAACTGGATTTACAAATAATTTATTTGTTGTCCTTAATATTGTAATACATTTGCAATTTTTCGTATATATTGTGTCATTAATATGCTAATAAATTGCAGAAAAACACTAAATGTCTCATAAAAAGGATAAAAATATTTGATAGTTTAATGTTGGAACTAGGTCTGTCTTAATCTTTAGTAATTATTTCTTATAATTTATTGCAATCCTTTTTATATTGATTTTGTTTTGAAAATGACTTCAAAATTGTTGTGAGACTTAGGATGTAAACATTTGTAATTTACACTGTAAGTTACGCGTATGTTTCACACAAAAGATACATTACAAGATAACCCATTACCTTAATTAGCTTACTTAATTTATAACTTAGGATATTTTATAAGATTCATTTATAAGAGTTATCAATTAATAAATATTGTTACATATAATAAATATTTTGGGACTCCTTCGATTGACCTACTTTTCAAAGCTATATTAAATTCTGATCATAAAAAGTATGTTATTTAATATTTGTTCCACGAATAACGTTGATATGGTGTGACGTACGTTATATATAAAAAGAAATTTCTGTGTTATTTTTTTATCCTGAGTCGATCAAGCTAAAAACTCCAATTTAGTCAAAAAGTAGGCTAATTGATAGGTAAGTCAATTGAATTGATAGATAAATATATTATGTAAATTACCAAAAAAATATTTAAATTTACTGTAAGTTACAGCTTTAAAATAGCTTATATGTTATTTTAATAAATTGCAAAAAGTGAAATTAATTTTTTGGTGAAATACAATACATCTATTACATTTTCTATTTTATAAATGGGATTAAAATTTAAAAATAAATCGATTAAATGCCATAATTGTTAAAACCTAAGGATGTTAGAGGTGAACTTTTTCATAAAATCATTAAATATTTCTGTTTTCACTGAAATATTTAACCAGAAAATAAATTTCAATAAATTTCACTCACGTGACACATTCATGTGGAATTAGATGAGTATAAAAGTCGAGTTGTTAAAAATTATTGTAATTCTGTGAATTCTTATTATATTTAAAGTGATATTATTATAAAATTAAGTTATAAGTTAGTTAGTGGATGTGATTTTACTAATAATTTAAATATTTAATCATTTTATTTTGAAATTTAATCATATATTAAGATAGGAAATAAAAACATAAAAATTAAATATTTCACTGAAATTTTCAATTTTATTAAAACATTATTCCTTTACTATAATATAATTTGAAATGTAAACAGAATAAAATACTAATAATAATATAGTACAGTATGTCATATCTAATCTCCCATTAATTCCGACAATCGGTAAACTGTAGAAATGAAAATAAGTTTCAATAACTCAATGCCCGCACAGCAACAGAATGCGTTTGCAAATGAGGTTGGTCATTTCATTGTTGTCAAAATGGCTTTACCCCACTGACATGCCTGTAAAATAAAGTTATTGTATAATATAAATAAACTTTGACGCGCTATAAATTCCATGTTTAAAATTTTGAAATTTACATATTTGGTCTCATTTGTAAGATTTGCTTTTTATAAATCAGACTCAATACAAAAGTATTATTCTAAACGTGAGCTTTAAATGAACCAGACACATATATGTAAGCTTATTAAGCATTATAATATAATATGATATAATTATAATAATTTATATCTGTAAAAATACTACTTCAATGAGTAAAAGGTTTTGCTTATACTGTAAGTTTATGGATTGATTATGATTAAGAATATAGATAATAAGCTTATAATGTTTAACACATTCAAGTTATATTCAAGTTATATAAAAACATTCCTTATGAAAGGATAAGTTATATTGTTTAGTAAATACAAAGAATACATGATAAGCTAGCACAGTACAGTACAGTACAACAGCTAGCACTGTACAGTAAAACATTTATATCAATACACAAAATATTTCAAATTCTGTATTACTGTACTTAGTACAGTATACTATAATATTAGAGTACTGTATTAACTACAGGGGTGACGGAATAGACAAAAATCTTTTTATACAGTATTTGTTCATTTGAGCAATGTCATATTATGGATTCATTTTGTAACCAAATAAAATATGACCAACTGAATGTTGTATAATTATTGCATATTAATTTATCACTTGTACCAGATGCTTTCTTATAACATTAGTGGAATACAGGGAAAGGTGTGCCATATAAAACTACAGTACAGTATTATACCGTATGATTGTATGATGTAATGGTGAGATAGTATTGAATGTATGTATGGGTGAGTGTGTAGTGTTGGCCCCAAACCTGTATGAGTGAGTGAGTGGTAAGCAGTGGACCAATGAGTGTGAGTGTGAGGCAGAGGGGAGGCAGTGATGCAGTGGTACAGCGATGTACTCACTGTACGTACACTCTGAAGGCTATGAGAGTATGAGTGCTGGCAGTCGTGCCATAACTGACTGACTGTCTGTTTGTCTCTATTATTGTCATCTTCACGAACCATCACTGCATCACTTCCGGACACCATTAGGCCATGAATTCGTGACATGTGATGCCATTGAGACCATTGAGACACCAGTAAAGAGTGAATCAGTGATCAGTACCACCACTATCACCACTATCACCACAACCATCACCACTACAACTCCGATCGGACAGACAGTGTATGTGTGTTAGCGATGGTGTTTGAGTTGTTTGGATCAGTTCGCCGTCTGGTGAAGTTGGATGAGGTGTGTATCGACAACAATGTCTTCCGTCTCCACTACAAGGCAACCGTCATCTTCTTAATCGCCTTCTCATTGCTCGTCACTTCCAACCAATACTTCGGGGATCCCATCGATTGTATCCAGAGGTAAGTGTTGTGACCTTTGACTCGATGAAGCCATGACCTGATGATGTGATTGTGTGACCCTTAGGGACGACATTCCGACCAATTTATTGGACACGTATTGCTGGTCAGTATCAGTGACTGACAATTGAAGTGATGGTGTGTTTGACACTAATGTCTCATTGAATGCATTATAGGATTCACGCGACGTTCACACTTCCGGATGCACTGAACAAGAAGGTAGGGGTGGAAGTGCCGCACCCGGGCATCGATAAGTACACCCCCGGCGAGAAGAGGGTTTACCACAAGTACTACCAGTGGGTGTGTTTCGTACTGTTCCTGCAGTCCGTCATGTTTTACATCCCGCGCTACCTGTGGAAGCTGTGGGAAGGGGGGCGCCTCCGGAGTCTGGTGTTGGGTCTGAACAGCCCTATCATGCAGGACAAGGAGAAGTCGGAACAGATCGGACTACTGGTGCACTACCTGAAGGCCAACATGCGGTACCACAACTCGTACTTCTTCTACTTCGTGGTGTGCGAAGTCCTCAACTTCGTGAACGTCATAATCCAGATGTATTTGATCGACGCCTTCCTGGGCGGCGCGTTCAGCACCTATGGCTTGGATGTGCTCAAGTACACAGAGATGGATCAGGAGGCGCGGGTGGACCCCATGATTGCGGTGTTCCCCCGGATGACCAAATGTACGTTCCATCGGTTCGGGTCTTCGGGTGATGTCCAGAAACACGACGCCCTCTGCATTCTTCCCCTCAATATTGTCAACGAAAAGATTTATATCTTCTTATGGTTTTGGTTTGTCTTTCTGGCCATCATTTCTGGCATTATCCTCATCTACCGCTTTGTCATCATATTCTTCCCGCACTTGCGTTACGTGACTCTGAGATCACGGGCGCGACTCACGGATCGCAATCACCTCAGACTCGTCATGGAAGTGGCGAAGATTGGCGACTGGTTTCTCCTGTAAGTCATTCATTGCCTTTTGCGTCACTCTCTACGCAAACCATTCAAACTAATCGCTTGTTTTGCTGCAGTTATTTGCTGTGCAAGAACATGGATGGCCAGCACTATAGGGAACTAATGCAGGAATATTCCAAAGAGATCGTTGAAGACGGGTCCGGCAAAAATCTGCTCAAATTCAACGAGAAGGAGGGCCTAACGCCCAGCGCCTGAGAACTCCTTATTTCCTTATTTACACGTTTCTGTTGGCTTTGAATGAATGAAACAAATATTTAATATTTTCTATAATATTGACTCAAAAACACTTTTATAACACAATATACAGTACAGTATAGCCGTATACATACATACAGTATATACAGTAAGTTTTATTTAATTATACGGTATATATATATATATATATATTTGTTGTCGCAATTGGGTTTCAATTGAAATATACTATAAATAGTTTGCATTAAACATATAGAGGAAAGGGATTAAACATTTTATATTAAGAGCTAATTTGGCGGCAAAATTGGAACTAAAGTGAAATTAACTTAAGAATTGATATATTTTTATACAATATTTGTAATGCTTTTCTATATCTATATATTGAATTAATTAATGGTTGTAATGATTGTCATAATTAATAGTGTTGTGTAATGACTAAAATCACTCAATCCAAACACACACTGCCATAGAATTATGCAAAAATATTTATATTTATATTGTATTTACTTTTAAAATGTTAACGCACTTAACATTGAATTCAATTTTGAATGAATTATATGTAAAGCAAATATTTTGTTTATATAAATATTCTGTAAATTGATGTTTAGGTGCCAAACAAATATTGATTTTGAATTACATGAACATAAGCTACAGTACAGTACACAACACTTTCACACCTTTTGTAATAACAATTATAATATTACTTTAAATACAGTAAATCTACAATAAATCTACAATCATTGGTTAGAACTAATTAATATATAATTAATTACTGTATTACCAGTGTACAATTGCCACTGATTGCATTACGATTTCTATCACTAAATATTATTTTATAATATATTACACTTAATATTAGTTATAATTTAGTTATTATATACAATATTACATATAATTACATTTATTTTATTATCAAGTTATTTACACATTTTATAGCTTATATTATATTGTATTAATATTTAACAAATAATGTGTCCAAACACATGACAATCCAATTTAAAAGCAATAGGTTATCATTTTATGGTTGATTTCGGGACCAAATATGAATCATCAATACTTATCCAAATAGAAAATCATTTATATTTTAATCTTTTAATTATCAATTTATTGTATTATTTCCAATTCAAATGACTAACCATTGATATATCGTAACGCATATCAAATAAAAGCCATAACAAGGTTTGCAATTAATGCTATAGAAACCCACATTTACATGTGGGTACAAATTGTACAATTTATTGAGTACTGTATTTGATTCGTCCTAACTAAGCAAGCAAAATAAATTTTTGTGTAAAATTATGCGTAATTTCAGGTAATATTACGTAATTTTAAATTTTAGCGTAATTTATCAAAAATAAACAAAAATTGTTATCAAATTCAAATGACATATCAATGTAATCGATATGAGAATCAGAGTTATATTAGACTTATTATATACAGTACAGTAGAGATGGAATGACCACTAATTTGAGCACACATTACATCACATCACATGACATGACGTGCTTTTTCAATACTTTTAAACGTTATTTCAAACATTTTGCAAGAGATTCATCTTTTAAACCAAATTGCAAACTATTATTTATTTGACTTGAATTGAATTTGATGGTATTTGAATGGTTGACCCCAAAAGGCCTAAAACCGAAAAGATTTAAACTAAACTCAAACTTAGACCTAAACTAAGAGAAAGTAGGCCTAAACTCAAACAACTGACCAGTGGACATATTTTTAATTTGATTAGTGGAATAGATGTGTTTCAACCTAACCTAACCTAAATTAAGTCAAATGTCCATTGGTCAGTTAGTTATTCAAGTTTAGGTCTTTTAGGATTTATATCTTTTAAGCTTTAGGCCTTTTGGTCCATTTGAATGTTACGTAAAATATTTACGATAAATTACTCTCCAATGCAATCTTAGAGTTATGAATCATAACTTATGATAGATCAGTTGAACTAAATTAAAATATACAATTAATCCATGAACCTACTGTATTATTCAATTACCATTCATTGAGGTTTATCATTAATTATCATCAAACAATCAAATCATTTGACCAGGTCTCTATTCTATACAGTAGACATTAAACAAATTAGATTTCCAAGATACCTAATGATCATTGATAATCTAAATCAAATATTAAAATCATTTGCTTTTATATTATTACAATATTTAAGTATTGATTTATAAATAATACTAATTTTATGTTTTATTTTTAAGCGATGTCTCAGTTTATTATTACAATCAATCCTCTATTCAAATTTGCTTAACATTTGATACTAACAATCAGTTATACCGTATAAATTATAACTTATAAGCTATGCGATATCTAAAGTTTAGATTCTAAACATTAAATGTACAAAAACTTGATTAAAACTTGCACTGAAGGACAGGCTTTCATTCATTTAGTTTGTGTCCTTCCTTTGCATTAGAATTGATTTATAAAATATTGCAATTATTGAATACAACATACAGTACTGTAGATACAGTAGTAGACTTTGAATTGACATTTATTTAAACAAAGTGTATTAATACTATTAATAGTGATGTGTAAATGCAATCTAACCAAACCAAACACAATACAGTTATACAGTTTAGTCATTTTTAATTGTTAGGATAACTGTAATCTTAATTATTAATAACACATTGTTTCTCATATTATTGAACATGTCAAATTAGCATTACTGTTAAGTTAATATATGTTTATCCTGTTTATCCCATCACTCAATCAGTCAATTCTATTCGTATTCAAAGATTTTGAATTTCTCACAATCTTATCGCAAATATTACAATATTTTCACTTCAATTCTTTCAATTCAATTATTAATTTCAAAATATATAATTATTCTAAATATTCATAATCTCTCTCTCTCTCTCTCTCTCTCTCTCTNNNACTCTCTCTCTCTCTCTCTCTCTCTCTCTCTCTCTCTCTCTCTCTCTCTCTCTCTCTATCTCTCTCGAATTGCCAGGATAATTTAAATTAGATACTGTATAAAGACTCCTCATTGAATGGCCTTTCATAGTAAATTGATTTCATACCTAATGTCATACCTAGAATCATAATTTGAGGGTAAGCTTAGGCAACTTAATATACTCGTTGACAGTGTTCTTTGTGTACAGTATAACTGTAATATATGAAAGCTTATTCACTGAATAAATGTTTGTTTGTTATTTTATAGCATCAAAATTATATACAGTACATACAATTTGTATGTATGGTATGAATTACTTAAGTTTTACAGTTTAAATGCTAAAAAACATGTGTTCTGCTAATAAACCATCATATACTGTAGTAACTATATCATAACTGTTTAGCAAAGTTATGTAATACTGTATACCTATACCTGTAGTATTATCATTACTGTATGTACAGTATAAGCATTCTCTTACTGTAACCCTTCATAAGAACTAAGGTTGCATGGAGCGTAATTTATCGTAATTTACGGCGTAAAATTACGTAATTTTACGCGTAATTTACGCTGTCAAAATTATTTTACGTAACTTTCAATTACAGTAAAATTCAATTCCAGAAAAATAAATAATATTGTTTATAATTTTGTTAAAAAAGGCATTTAGTTAGTGGATGTGATTTTACTAATAATTTAAATATTTAATCATTTTATTTTGAAATTTAATCATATATTAAGATAGGAAATAAAAACATAAAAATTAAATATTTCACTGAAATTTTCAATTTTATAACATTATTCCTTTACTATAATATCACTTGAAGTGTAAACAGAATAAAATACTAATAATAATATAGTACAGTATGTCATATCTAATCTCCCATTAATTCCGACAATCGGTAAACTGTAGAAATGAAAATAAGTTTCAATAACTCGAGGCCCGCACAGCAACAGAATTCGTTTGCAAATGAGGTTGGTCATTTCATTTTTGTCAAAATGGCTTTACCCCACTGACATGCCTGTAAAATAAAGTTATTGTATAATATAAATAAACTTTGACGCGCTATAAATCCCATGTTTAAAATTTTGAAATTTACATATTTGGTCTCATTTGTAAGATTTGCTTTTTATAAATCAGACTCAATACAAAAGTATTATTCTAAACGTGAGCTTTAAATGAACCAGACACATATATGTAA